CAAATTCACTTTTTCAATTTGAGTAATCTGTAATGGATGCTGTTTTCCATCCAGCAAACATCAACAATGGTTCTGAAGATGCCAAAGAACTTCACAATTGGTTTGCGCCAAAGGAACCTGGAAGCCAATATTACATATGTCGAAAGGAATTGATGAATACTGGGATGAAATGTTCATCTTACAGCTTCAAGGAATTTAACGTGACTGAACTTTATAAAAAGTGTTCTTCTCTTTCAAAGCTCAAGTTTTTTGTTACTGGATTAAATTTAGTTTTCATCCAGAGAAGAACATGACCTTTACTGCTCTCAGAGTTGTGAGTTCATGAGTGAGTGAGTGTGTTTAACTCTGTTCTGAATAGTATTTCACTGTTTGGGCTGCTGACTGTGCTGAAACCCAGGTATGGTTTGTTTATCAATTGTTTACTGTTTCAATCAACAGTATTCCATGGTCAAACCAAGTCTCATAATCAGTCAGATTATCAGATTCAAAGTATGGATTAGCACATTCTGTCACAACTATGGGAAGCAACTCTGTTCATACCCTTGCATCTACTTGAACACTCATTTTACCTTTTATAAGCACTTTAAATAAAAACAATAAACTAGTGATACAAAATTAAAAGAAAATAAATATCATCAACAACAAATTACATGAAAAATTCTCAATCCCACCTACAGCCTCTTGTGAAAACATGTCTGGACAAACCTATGACATTTTAGAGTGAGTGAGTGAGTGAGTTTAGTTTTACGCCACACTCAGCAATATTCCAGCTATATGGCGGCGGTTTGTAAATAATCGAGTCTGGACCAGACAATCCAGTAATCAACAGCATGAGCATCAATCTGCACAATTGGGAACCGATGACATGTGTCAACCAAGTCAGCAAGCCTGACCACCCGATCCTGTTAGTTGCCTCTTACGACAAGCATAGTCGTCTTTTGTGGCAAGCATGGGTTGCTGAAGACCTATTTTACCCCCGCATCTTCACAGGTCAACAGTTTAGATCATTAGCTGTAAATAAAGAAATGCCCCAGGCTTCAATGTATATATATCTTACTACAACTTGTCATAAAGTAAATCAGAGAAATGTTTAGAGATGAAAAACCAGTTTAAATGCGCCTAGAAGAGTACGGTCATACATATTCTGGAGACACACATTTCATAACTTTTACTGTTATGTTCCAGGGTTAGGAAATATGTTTTGCTTTCAGCCCCAGCCCCAGGTTTAAGCTGTTTGATAGATTTGTAGCAGTGCCACACACTGTGAATGCCATTATCTGCATTCTTGTCAGTGAGAGCTAGTTCTTCAACAAGCAGCACACGTCTTCAACAGCCAGTATACATGCTAATAGCCACCAAAACTACCAGTGTGTGGTTCTGGTTTTGTACCAGCACCTACCAGAGCCAGGTGTATTTGACTGAATCAATATAGCTATATAGACGGTTGCACTTTACTCTTTACTTTTGAATCTAAATGTTACCAACTGTGGTTTTAAACCTTTTAGCAAAGTCTTGCAGAATCATGATGGGGACACCAAGTAGGGGACACCCAGTATTGACTACTTCACACATTGAGACAGTAATAGTCAGAAAAACTGTTGAAATAAATCATTTCTGGATGAAAACATCAAGAGAGAATGAATTATTTCTATACCTAAGCCCACTCACATATATGATGTGATAAATCCAATACATTTGGTATGCATGACAAGCAAAATGAAGAAAATTTGCAAAAATATAATTTATTTTAAAAACAAACAAACCTGGAAATCTTATGTCTATTGTTCAGGTTGCAAAACTAAAAAAAATTAACTTCTTTGAGTGGCATTTTAGAAGTTGGGAAGTACAGTATAGAACAAACTTTATGGATAACAACTTCTTTTTATTCGTGAGTGCGACGTTTCGATACAGATTCTTGTACCGTTGTCAAGCATGTTTGACAACGGTACAAGAATCTGTATCGAAATGTCGCACTCATGAATAAAAAGAAGTTGTTATCCATAAAGTTTGTTCTATATTGTAAAAAAAAATAATGAACTCACTTGAAATGACTTTCAATTTTTATATTTTTATAATTAATGAAAATTATCATATGTTCATGCACACACCCTCAGGGAGTGCCAAGCATGGTGTTATGTTTGTGAAAATATGTTTTGCGAAAAAGGGAAGTGTTCTGTCACTGTCAGCTGTTCCTGTGACATCTATCGGACTGAAATCCCAACCTATTACAAATATAATGTGCACAAACAGCACAGAAGGATGTGCTTGTCCATTTCACAAACACCTGATGTCATGTCACTTTCATCAAGTTGTTACAACTGGGTTCATTGAAATTCATCACTTCCCCTTCTCTAGACTTCACAACATGTGACAAGGATAGAACATTACAATGCTGTGTTAAACTGATGTTTTTATATAAATCTTAATGCCAAAACACATCCGATCACAACAGGACAACGAAATTAACATGATATGTTAAGCTGTCATTCCTGTCCTTCAGCCCTTGTAAGCCTAGGATATCCTTCAGGATGCAATCAACGTGAAATAGACAAGGAACATACACGCATACCGCCACCTTGGTGATTATAGCCACTTGTCACAGTAATCTCTCCCAAAGACAACAATGACGATTGTTTGAAATCTACATCACTCTTTGCATCAAAAGGTAAGGAGCTTTTAGGCGCCATTAATGTGCTTCCGAAATACCTCCCAACACACCCATTACAGCCTCATTATCTCCTTAACGAGTCTTGGAGAGTATTGCAATTAGGTGGATTTGTATCAGTCTGGACTCCTTGTTATTGCTGTGTGAGATACATTTGTCAAGATTTGCCACACATTTCAACCACAAAAGGGAAACACTGCAAATACTGTCAGGAAGTATTTGTGTATTTTTAAGAATATTTTGTTGTGTTTTATGGATAGGGAAAGTCTGATGACTCTGGAATGCATTTAGGAAGTGAGGTTTAATGCTATTTTGAGCAATATTTCAACTGTATCACATCAGCTTGGATTGGGAAAGTTAAGAGTGATGTAGATATTTGATGGTTGCCACTTAGACAAACCATTGGCATAATCAGGTTGAATTTGGAATTTGAACCCATTATCACAAGATCCTGGCATGAGTAAGGGATGTAACTCTGAGGTATTTTTGCATCTTAGATGAGTGGATCGCCAGTGCCATTGATAAATAAAATGAATCAACGTAGAGGTATAAACAGTTTTCAAATCTCAATGTTTACCATGATTATATTTCCACATTTTTCCGCACCCTAGCTGCTCACGTGGGTAGCACCAGAGTAGTAAACATATGTGACCAGCACCACTTTGGGCTTCCCTCCCACATCAGCTGATACACTGTGATTTCACTGGAACACTCAGCAAAGCATCACTAAACCCAGCACACTCACTCACTCAATGTATTTAATATATTACCTCAGAGGTGAGGTGAAATGGGGTATAACGTACTTAAGAGAATATTTCACTCATATGACAACGTGCATGCGTGTGTATGTGTATGTGCACCTGCTTGTACTAACCCAGACTTAAGCTGGTTTTATAGTCCTAGCTCACTGAGATACCATGCCGCAGTGAAGCATGAATACCCTACTCAGACACATTATACTGACTCTGAGCAAACCAGTCCTTGTACCCATTAATGCTGAGTGCCAGGCAGGGAACAACAAATACCATATTTTAACGTCTTTTGGTATGGTATGGCTGGGGATCGAACCCACAACCTTCCGCTCTCTTGGCGGATGCTCTAACCACTACACCACAGAGGCAGTATATTAATTATAACCTGGATCAGTCTTAAGTGAATGACCATATTGATATCAACTTACTGGTACCCATTTCACAACCAGATGTACCTCAATATAAGAATATAAGAGCTTCAACATTCATCACAAACTTCAAAATTCAAGAAGTAATGTTAATGATATCATAATAAAAAAACATTACATTGATAAGATCTGGCTCTTGTTTTTGACTGATAGTGTATGGGTTTATAATTAAAGTACATTTTAGATGAGGAATTTGCTAAGACATCTCCACACAAAAACTGCCATGATACTGTAAGTAACGTGTTCCACTGATAACAAGACAGAGCTCCTAATTTCTGTTTCGTTTCATCTGACAGAGATATGAGAATGTATACCCGACAGCATGACACTTTGATTAGTGGAGTTCCATTACATGCATATCCATCCCTATATCTATCACAGACAATGATCATTGTGCCATACATCTTATACATCACATTAATCAAAGTTACAATGACAGAATCTGGAAACTATTAATAACTTCTCTATTTTAGCACAAGGACATGTGTAGCCAATGTCCGTCCAAAACAGAGTCCATGTAGAATGAGAGATATCTCACCCAATATATGCTACTCAAAGAACTTAAGGATCACCTTACATTGGAAGGTTGGAAGTCAAACCCAAGATGCTATGACAAATTACATATAGTTAATTAAAAATTGTTCCTTAACTTGTTTTGAGTGGGTATTATGTACAAAGTTCAAACAAGAAAAGCAATACTCTTAAATTTCTATTTTTAATCAAACAAACTGTAAAATAATATAAACTATGTCAGGTATTTAACCTCATAAACACATTTTGAAAATTGGTCATGCCATCTGTGTTAAAGCCACCATTATAGGGGTTGTTAAATTTGATTAAAGCTATCAATTCCACTGTCTTTAACAGAAATGTCCTGGCCCTTTTCGAAGGGGTGGCAGACCCTGCAAGCACAATCTCAGGGAATCAATACGGAATTCCATAAAGAACACCAGAGACAACCACATCTTTCCTACAAACTGACGGTTCCATCCATACATTCTCTTGCAAGAAACTGAGCTTTCACTCAACCTATGACAGAAAATGACAATCACTTTTTCCATGTATTCAAGCTCAGCCAAGCAGGAGATATTGCGTTGACGAGCCTTGACAAAAACTCACTCCCCTGCGGTGCAAAATGTCGATTTCTAATGAACTGAAAATTTGAAAAGTCTCCTGGCTTTTGTACACAATGGTGGGGTGAGCAGGATTTTATACTCTGTAAAACATTATTAAATTCATATGCCTGATGATGATATTGTTAAAAATTAATTTAACTGGGTGAAAAGTCACATGACTTAGATGACCTTCACATCAATTATGCACTAGTTACAGGGCAGGCATGCATAAATGCCAACTAAAAAACAACACTGTCCCTTTTTAAGCTGAAAAGGCATTTTGATTTTGTTTTCATGTGGGAAAAGTCTTGTAACATTCAGCAAGTACATGTATCTTGTGAAAAAATGTGTTAGATTTCATTATCAACACAGGGTATTACGTCTTCATTATTTTGAGATAAAGTTTAAAGGTTACACATATTTCACAGATATGAATCAAACATTAATCGGCTTACACATGAAATCTATAACTGAAGCATTTCATTATTATTTTCAGCATGTTTCATGAAAGGTATTTGGAAGTAAAGTACATGATAGGTGCATGAAAGGTACATGAAAGGTACACGAAAGGTACATGCTGTACCTGAGGTCTTCATTGACATCAATCATGATAACAACAACCCCACACCATTACTGAATCGTGAATGAATGAATGATTATCAAATGATTTATCATAATTTCTAGGCTTTGTTTTCAATTCAGTATCTAAATGATATTAAATAAAATAATAAAATTAATTAAGAAAACAACAAAGGAAACATTCACTGTGTTCAAATTTCACTCCTTTCTCAGATTACCAAAAACAAGACTGATCTTAAAAACCCTAATCAAAACTTCTGACAAAATATTGACTACACTGCTTGTAAGAGACAAAATCGAACTGACAAAACTAAAAAATAATACAAATAAAATTTGAATATACATTTACAATGATAACATTAGGAGTTGGCAAAACAGGTAAGATAGATTGGTTCCAAAAAGTCAAATGTCAGGACAAGGAAATCTGCATACCAAATCCCCAACAAACTACACTCAGTCATCATAAACAAAGCATACAAACCCAAGATACATGGAAAATGCAACAAGCAAATCCTGCCATCAGTCAAGTGCTAATTTGCAAGTGACAATTTAATCTACAAAGTCCTTGTCATTCATGATTAAAGTAACATGTGAGTATCAGCAATATCAAGTGAAATCTGACAGCGAAATCTACAACAGATGACCAACAGGGAACATCTTCAAGATAAGCCATGATGTAGGGATTCTACATCGATAATGACAAGATCCCCTCCCCACTCCCTGCAACACTGGTCCATCACAATAATAGCACTACCTGAAATGTACAACATACTCTGATGTGTCATCATTCAAGATTACCTGTCGGAAATCCCTGAAATCTCTTTGATCCTCCTCTGACCTGAGAGCTATTTCCAGCCATTATAAATATCCATGAATTTCTTTTGCTGTTCAAAGGAGAGTAGGTCTGAGTTTACAAACACTGTCAAGGGACTTAAATTACAACTTTATTTTAGACATGAATTGGGTAGTTAAGTATTTCCGGGAGATAATATTTTCTATCCAAACATGTTTAATGTTTTCTTTGATGTACGTTTATGAAATGTTTATTTCTCTATGAAAATTGTGCAAAAAGTAAACATTTCACTTTAGTTTTTTGTTTATTGCTTTCTGAAAACATTTATATATTTCTGCATTTTTTTTTACAAATGTTTTCAATCCAGAAATTCATTAATGAGCAATATGTACCTTGAGTTAATTTCTAATACTAAAATCACAAAATCCAAATTGAATGCAATAATAACATTACTCAGGAACTCATATTTTATTCCTTTTATGATCTTGTTAGTTCTTTTGTTGTTGATAAAAGATTTCACTTTGTTGTGTCCCTTCGCTGACTTCACACAAACACTACATAAATCACTATGTTGGTTCACATGGGGATTCCTAGGAGGAAATCACATAGATTAATGCCTGGCCGTAGACAGACCACAATTTCATTACTAATTGCAGACTGGTTGAAACCCGGTATTACATTGATTGAGCCCTGACCTACGGTCACCCTGCAGTCATCAAGTCAGATGGCAATGTCTGACCAGTAACAGCCTGTAATGGGTACCCATGGGCGACCGGTCAGTGATGAGGGTAATTGAACAGCTTCAATCTGTCACAGAATAACACTGTGGCCTGAGAACACCTTACGAACACTGATATTATAATTATTCAGTGTCAATTGTAGACTGCGGGACTTGCAGAAAATGTCATCAGGTAGTAATTCAAGGAATTTGACCAATGTTTAAGGCCTTTTCAAGATTCACAATAACAGGTTATAAAGACTTGACTGCAGGTTTCAAGACATATTTACAAAACTGTGAAGACATTAAAATACCATCAGAAGAGTTTACATTTAGAAGACAAACAATCAGTGATAAAGCAATTGCACATTGGATTGAGATGCCCAGATCTAACAGCACAGTACCTCAGGCCTTCCAGACAACAACCTGATGTGTGGGTCTACTTTTTATCAAAGATTGCCCAAGGATACAGATGCCATTTGCCAAAGTCATCTCATAGAAATTACTCATGATATAACATTTCTGTAGCCTGTCTTGGACTAGACACATATAGTTACATAATCAATATAGTTAAACTAATCTTAAAGCCCAGACACATATAGCCATGCAGTTAATATAGTTATATAGTTAACTAATATATAGACCTTGATACATATAGACATAGTTATATGTTAATATAGTTAACTAATATTTAGACCTTGATACATATAGTCATAGTTATATGTTAATATAGTTATATAGTTAACTAATATTTAGACCTTGATACATATAGTCATAGTTATATGTTAATATAGTTATATAGTTAACTAATATTTAGACCTTGATACATATAGTCATAGTTATATGTTAATATAGTTATATAGTTAACTAATATTTAGACCTTGATACATATAGTCATAGTTATATGTTAATATAGTTAACTAATATTTAGACCTTGATACATATAGTCATAGTTATATGTTAATATAGTTATATAGTTAACTAATATTTAGACCTTGATACATATAGTCATAGTTATATGTTAATATAGTTATATAGTTAACTAATATTTAGACCTTGATACATATAGTCATAGTTATATGTTAATATAGTTATATAGTTAACTAATATTTAGACCTTGATACATATAGTCATAGTTATATGTTAATATAGTTATATAGTTAAATAATGTTTAGACCTTGATACATATAGTCATAGTTATATGTTAATATAGTTATATAGTTAAATAATGTTTAGACCTTGATACATATAGTCATAGTTATATGTTAATATAGTTATATAGTTAACTAATGTTTAGACCTTGATACATATAGTCATAGTTATACCTTAATATAGTTATATAGTTAACTAATATTTAGACCTTGATACATATAGTCATAGTTATACGTTAATAATAGTAATATAGTTAACTAATATTTAGACCTTGATACATATAGTCATAGTTATATGTTAATATAGTTATATAGTTAACTAATATTTAGACCTTGATACATATAGTCATAGTTATATATTAATATAGTTATATAGTTAACTAATATTTAGACCTTGATACATATAGTCATAGTTATATGTTAATATAGTTATATAGTTAAACTAAACTCAAGGAGCTAACATTTTCATCCTTTCAATGTCCAAAATTCATGAAGGTATCATGCTAATACGATTCAAGAAAATGTTCCATAAATTCTATACCCATATCTAACTTGTCCCTACTGCTTCAACAGCATAGATCTATAACTCTCTAGAATTTCCGTTACATATTTTATTAAAAAGAGAAGTATCATATGCAGTGTTAATGTAAAACTCTTTAAAGTTGATATTTCTGTAACTCAATCAATACACTGCGGAGGTGGCTATTAACTCATAACTCCCACTTATAAGAACTCCAAATTGATATTTGATATTATTTTTCTGCGAATTTCAATCAAAGAGAATAACTGATTCTGGGATCGAAACATACAGCAGAAAATATTGAACAGTTCTAGGTCATAATTACATAATCAATTTGTAACAGTATTATTATTTGTCATACCAGCATTCAAAGAGAGATAATCAGATGTTTGTTTTTTCAAGCTCAGCAAAACATTCATCGTCCATTGCCATCAATCAATGTTTGACACCTGAGTAAATTTCATGGAAAATAACATCAAGCCTCTTGAATGTTCTTTATCAATCTAGGCAAGTACACAGATATGCTGGACACAAATTGATAATGTGTTATGAAAACAACCTGCAGTCTCTTTGCTCTATAACATGATTAGCTGGTTGCATATTCAGGCTGTGCAGAGTATTATGTATTTCGTTAGCACTCCTAAAAAGCCCTAGCAATTAAGTTTTATTTCTGTTGGTGGTGTTGTGATCAAAATATAAATCATCATCATCATCATCATCATCATCATCAACATCATCATCATCATCATCATCATCATCATCACAATAATAAACATTCCTGGCCATAATCATAACACATAAATATATGTAGACTACTCAAAAGAAATTATAGAACACCTGATTCATCCTCATCATCATCATAATCATCCTCCTCATCCTCCTCCTCATCATCATCATCATCATCATCATCATTGGTCTGGGGTTCTTTTACACTCAGAAATACATGTATTCCATCTATAAGATGTTAGTCTGTAAATATTAAAGTCTAGACCAGACAATCCAGTGATTGATATCAAGAGCATTGCTCCCCACATTTATACATAATGAGAGCAGCCAAGTTACTGACTATAGTCTTGTTAGTCATTTCTGTGTTGCTGGACATGTACATATGAACTATATATCTTTATTCATTAACAATCCCGGCAGCTGTATGGACACTCAACTCTCCAAAAACAGAACCAGTTGGATGGCAAACCTTACATGAATGTCAGGATGTCATCATGTTTCTTGTGGAATCATTTCCATGTGACAAGTGACCTATTTCACACTTTGAGTTACCATACTGCAAACATAGTGCCAAAACCATTTCCATGATCAAACTGGATCTCTGCTAAAAGACAAATCCGTTGTATGATTACAACTATATTATATGCTTGTGTTTATAATCAAATAGTGATTATACTAGGTTTTCATGGAATGGTCGCTACAAGTATCACAAAACAAATCTAATGCCATGCACAAATGTTTCCTGAGCTCACAATGCTAAATTATTAACAGGATGTAAAGGACTGTTTAACTGAACATTGTAGCCACTGACCTTCACACCCATGGTTTGCAAGCCAATGAAGGTCATGAAGCCCTATACCCACAAGTACCTGGATTGTAGAGCTGTGACGATATATCATAGTATTGATAATCGTGATACTTTATCTGATGATATATATATCGATACGTTTTTTCGTATCGTGATATGTATCGTTGACCTTAAAATTGTTAATTTCCATTAGATATTGAGGGTTATGTCAAAATTTCTTGTTTTTAAAATACGATTTTTTAAAGAAAATAACTAAAGAAAGCATATCGTGATATGCATCGAATCAAATCGTATCGTTCCAAGATATTGTGATATTTATCATATCGTGAAATTTCTGTATCATCACACATCCTTTGGATTGTGTATCTCAAAAGCATATGCCTATTCATTTCATTTCGAAATATTCATTCGTCCATCTACTACACAAATCAATATTCCTATCGCATAACTGGTAATAAAATAAAGCTTAATACTCACATAAAACTGTATTAAATATAAATTCTTATTAGTTGATAAATCTCAAGAGATATTATTTAAAACTGTTGGACAAAATAACCACATCAATGTGTAGATAAAACTTATTATTCTTATCAAAGTTGGATCCCTCCAGCCCAGAGGAGAGAAATAACACACCTATTACATGATTCTGGAACTATAGTGGAATCCCACATCAACAAAATCATTCTCTTTAAGACCAATAAGTTGTATCGGTAGTACCGCAAATGTCAAAAGTAGATTGTTACATTAATACCCAAATAGGAGAGTCCTCCCCTTGGTTACAGGAGAAGTATCCCTTCACAGATGTACTGTGATGAGGAGATAGGACAAGAAGGATGACATGGCATCCATTATTTAGACACATGATGATGAGCTTGTTTGAGAATTAGTGAATAGTACCATGTGCTTTAGTGTACCGCTAATTCTAGATACTGATTTTAACTTTGAGGAAGGATTTGTATTGACATTTTCATGACTTCCTATCAGTTACCAATCTTGACTGACCAATGGCAAATTGATTCAAGGCAAAGAGTCTTGTTAGGAAGGTGTCAGGTAATCCTTCAGTGAGTGAGTGAGTGAGGAGTGAGTGAGTGAGTTTTGTTTCATGCCGCTTTTAGCAACAATATCCCGGCAGGGTGTAATCCTTCAGATTTCATCCCCTTCATCACTGGTATCACTGTGCTATGTTTCAGATGCAGCTGCAAAACTGAATTCCAGATTCCAGCTGAGTATATTGCCATATTTGTCAGCACCAAAGCTGTATTCAAAGGTTCCAAAGTACTAATTGTACAAGATTGTATCACCTGGAACTTTCCTCTCACATAAGTTGGCATGATGTTATGCCACAGAAATTCTGTCCAAAGCATCTCAATCACTCACGCACTCAAGGGACAGCTGGTCATCTTTGAACCTATATTTGTTCAACCTGACTCCCTGGCAGACACAGTGTAGAATTTTACCCCATGTGAAAGATTAAGAAAGTGACTTGGGTTTAAGGCCACCCTGATAATATTCCAGTCACATCACAGCACAACAGCTTGATGTGGGAGCATTAACTGATGGAGGCCTCAGATGTTCTCCACTTTGGTGAAACCCACAAGCTCAGGTAGGTTTAGTTGGTCGTTTAATGCCACACTCAGCAATATTACAGCTATATGGTGGCAGTCTGTAAATAATTAGGCCAGACAATCCAGTTATCAAAAGCATGAGCATCGATCTAGACATTGAATATGATGACACGTGTCAACCAAGTCAGAGAGCCTGACCACCCGATCCTGTTAGTTGCCTCTTACTACAAGCATGGGTCGCTGAAGATCAGTTGTAGCCCTGATCTTCATGGGTGACAAATCAAGACACATATATGGGGTGAATGGGGCATTGAACCCTTGATCCCAGTTTTCAGGCCTTTGGATGCCTCAGGATAATGCTCAGTAATGCTCACATCAATGACAACCGAATTGTCTGTTCCAGAAAACCCTCTCTTGACTATATCAGCTGTTTTCATATTCATTAAAGATGTTTTTGATAGTTTCTGATACAATAACCAACACAGTCACAGTCTCTCTCTGACAATCTGTAGTCTACTGCATTTGAGTCCCATGAATATTTGGCCATGGAAAACGCTGAGTTAGCATTATTGATTATTTAAAACTGTAGTTGTGTTATTATTCAATTTTTTTAAGCTAAACATGTGTCATAAGGCATCCAGTTACATTTAGATTAATAACCTGACATTTTGGTTATTCCAAAACTGAAATAATTCATTGACAATTGTTACAAGACACCATGAGGCAACTTTCCACAAAAACATAAATCTTTCCACGGAAACAATAAATCAATTTTCTCCTATCAAAATTAGCATATTTCCCTTCTCAAACTGAAAGTTCCACAAAAGCAAATGCAACTTCTTTATAAATCTTATACCAAATTCCAAAATATTAAAAACAAACATCTGACAAAACAACAAAACACATATTGATATCATCAGCTTAATCAATACTATGGAGGGATATATTCTCTATGAATATTTCATCCCAATACAAAGAGAATATACAATTGATATTATCAGTTATAACCCAGTAATGAAAGACATATACACTCTCGGGTTAAAATATTCAACAGACAAGAGTTTCTTCAGTCCGGCTGGGCACATCTCTGTTTATTTTATCTTATTTATTCATATTTGCTTGATCATCCAAATTGGATTTATAGATTTCTGTGGGGTATATAATTCCAGCATAGCTATAAATACTAAAACAATACTGTCCACATCTGTAATAATTCTTTCCAATCAATGTCAGCTATGAATAATATATGAGTTATATAAACAAGATATTAAGAGATAACGTGAGATCAGTGTGTGTTCTCAGGCATTACTTAAACCATCTGGTCCATTCATCAAAGTACTTAACTGTATTCAAATAAGTATATTTATTTTACATTGACACAAAGTAATGTTAGTGGCATGTTAATAGCATGTTTTTACATAAGAAGAAGTTTCATGTAGATGGTATATTTCTTTGAATTTATCAAGAGAAATAAGTTGTACTGATATAGTAAAGAGTTTTAATTTCTCTGAAGAAATAATTTGTCTGTAAGTAGTAAATGTGTTTTAAATTCTATAAAGAAATATGTTGTAAGCAGATAGTATGAAAATTACCGGTATATAAATAACATTTAATATTTTTAAAGTAAAAATGGTCATTGATAATTTCATGGTGTAAAGTAACTTATCAGTTTGAATGATGAGACCATAGGGATCTAGAAAACAAGAAATCAAATGATCAATCAGATCTTTATCATTCATCACAAGTGGTGAACATCTGAGGCCCACATCTCTTTCAACTTCCCACATGAAGCGGATAAAGGTGATATAACTCAAATAGTTTTAAGTAGCATTAAACCCAACTCACTCACTAACCAACTAATCCCACTTCACATGACCTCAGTATGGTGTTTTTTCAGCCATAAGAACAACTCCACAGTAATTAAGTTAGTACATTTTCCTTACAGCCTTCTTCAACACCTATAAACCACAATAACATTTCTCAAACCAATTTATTCCTAGGAATCTTCAAAGTCTGCCAAAATGGCACCGTCTGGCCAAAATTGCACCAGAAATCTGTGTATCGACCAGTGTGGGTCCCGCAAGTGTACGACTGACCATCCATAATGTATACTTGACCTTACATGTACGGATTGCACAACGCTTTGTCTGGACCAGCGTCGTACAACGCCATCCCAAAAGACTTATATGGTCACCATGTATTGATTTCTTGGAGCACTGCAGTATACAACTGGCACCATGATATTCCAGGCACTGCCATGGAAACTCTATCACTGTGACTCTAGTAGATAGTTACTATCGTCATTTGAATGCCAGGCTGAGTACACAGATAAACACCACTGACATTCCCTTAATGGATTGTAAGAATAATGCTTCATCTGGTTCTCAGGAAACATTATCTAAACATGTAGCTGAAGGCTGGGTGTTTGCCTAGAACCAAATTAAGGAGCTTCTGGAAATCTCTCGGGTTCATTAATCGTATCATGTTGAAGTATATCAAAGTTTTTCACAGTAAAAGTCAGCCAATATTTCAAGGGAATTCAGATAGCCTTGTCACAGAATTTTTCCCCAAACACACATACATCAGTAAAACAATAACTTCCTTTTGGTATATTTCAATGAAATACTGTAAAGGTTATAATAGCAGTGAAGCATGAATACACCACTCAGCATTCTGATGACTCGAGCCGAAAGGGCTGTGACTATATATGAAAAATAAAGTGTACTGGTACCAGAAAATGGTTGAGAAAAAAATCATGGTCATGCTTCTTCTCACTGTTGAAAAACAAACACATTGTAAACAAATACTTAGAACCATAGTTTTAGATTCTCAGATCTTATTGTAGCTAGTCTCCATACAAAAAACAACACATTGTTTGGCCATCAGTTATAAGTTCTAATACATATACCCATAAAAGACAGTATCCCAGTTATCTACTGGGCCTCCAAACCTGCCAACAGCAGTAACATCAATGATGATGGGAATTTAGGTAAACAGTTTAGCATTTCCTAGACCAATGTCTGCAAGTAATGAAACAAAAAAACACAATTTCCATTTTTTTCTGACACTCATTTTCAGTAATCAGACATAATATTTCACCACCACATGACAATCGATGCCAGATGTTCAGAAAGAAGTCACATTATAAAATCACTAACCTAGTAATGATGATTATGGTGGTCACGTTGTAATAAATCACACCGAGATCTTCCTGCCAAAAGTGACATCACAATGAGAATTGTTTGTAATGGGATACAACAGAATGTGTATTCAAAGTACATTTATGACAAATTCTTGCTTTCCCAACATAACATGATACACGTTCTGTGTACTGAGACAACAGACGTATAATTTTGCCATCACAATGTCTCATTTAGGACATCAATTTATAACAATGATAGCCATATATGTAAATCATTCAATAGTACACTTAGCTTAAATTCATCAGTGATTCCTGTTTTGGATCTGTTGATAAAAATATACAGAAACAGATTCAATGATTTAAATATTAAGTTTCATTTTGACGTTTCAGGGAAAATATGACTGTCAGGACAGGAAGAGCAAGAGCAAGTAATGTGTTGCAATGAAATAAAGTTGTACCATCGCAAAGTCTCCTGACCTGGGCTGTGCATAGGATGGCTAGGTTACCATCTGATCCAGTAATAGCTGCATGATTTCCTCATCCATTTTGTCCACCTAATTCCTATCATTGACAGATTAAAGTTTTGTGTTGCTTTTTGTAGTATTTATGGCAGGTCACATCTAGAATGTCAGCAACATTCCAGACTGAGCATGTTGGATTTAAGTCTAGATGGCTTGCAAACCCAATAAAAGAAACTGTAAAAATCAATACCAAAAAATCATAAATAAAATTTTTCATCTTCCTTGCAGCTGTGGAATGTAATTCTACTCATTATGTTCATCTTAATTCTATACAAATGTGTTTTTCCATGCACCTCATCAAATAGCCACTATGGTCACAAATAAATACACAAACTGTTCCTATTTTCAGATTCCATGGGTGTAGGACCTGATCATTGTACCTGGAGGTCCCAGAACATTGATGCCATCAACCACTAGTTTGTGTTGTCCTGATTTGATTATTCATAGGCCACCAAGATAAAGCCAAAATATTACTGACTGTAGCCTTAAACAACCTTCACTCACTCATTGACTGTGCATGCAACAGATATCTGTTTAACTATCAATCTTGCTTTCAGATGTGTCTACAGAGACCATAGAGATCACTGCCAACATGCATCTTGGAAGTCTTGTCCACCATGTCACCTGTCCTTGTTTTCAACACACTCCTCTAACGTCCCCTAGTATATTCCTTGATGAAGGCAACCCCTTTCAGTGATGGCTTGAAGTGCTCTGTTGGCTTCCAAGATGGCCCCGGGGTCGAGGAAACCATGTCTCTTGTCCTCTCATGTGATCAATGAAGGACAGAATCTAATTTATTTGCTCCATTGACAGTTCTGTGACAAGTGTAGGTGTGTGGTGGTTGTAGCAGTTACTGCTTGTTACAGGGCCATCTGGAGAGTCAGGGTCTGTCTAGGTCGGTGTAGAGACCTTGAATACCACAACACGGTAGGTGTGTGGTGGTTGTAGCAGTTGCTGCTTGTTACAGGGCCATCTGGAGAGTCAGGGTCTGTCTAGGTCGGTGTAGAGACCTTGAATACCACAACACTGTAGGTGTGTGGTGGTTGTAGCAGTTGCTGCTTGTTACAGGGCCATCTGGAGAGTCAGGGTATGTCTAGGTCGGTGTAGAGACCTTGAACAACACAACAGTGTGGGTGTGTTGGCCACTTAATGAACAGAAGCCAGATTTTGGTTAGGTCAGCGAAACACCAGAACAGTCTGGGTATGTTGAAGATTCAGTGTATAGATCTTTATTGTGCGTGTAGTCATTGTAGTAACACTTCATTGCTACTGAAGCCAGAGTATAGATCTGTCTGTACCACATCAGAACATTGTGGGTGTGGTCACTGTAGCAGCTGTAAATGTTTGTTACAGAAGTCTCGTTCTGTCTAGATCAGCAGAACATCACAACAGTCTGAATGTGTTGACCATGCAGCATACCAAACAATGTTCTGTGTATATAGTTATAGAATTTCTGCAATGATCTCCTGTTACAGAAGTGAATTAAAGAGTATGGATCTGTCTAGGTCACCAGAACACAAGAACATTCTGCCCAACTTAACTGGGTTAAGTTCAGTGACTCATTCATTCAATTGCTGCACAAACTGCATTTCACCGAAGTTATCTCTGGAGTATAGTTCCTTCTGGGTCTGCGGAACAGTCTAGCTGGGGACTGTGCAGCACAACTCAGTGATGTGATAAAATGTCAGAACAGGCGAAATGTTTGGATGGTCCAACAGGTCAGATAGCCATTCCACAAGCAGCATACCCATCTCAACAGCCTCCTGACAGAGATACAACCTGTAGGGTAGAGGTGTCCACCTTCTGATCCAGGATTTCATGGTTCAAACTACACATGCCACTCATGAATACCATAACTGCTAGAATTATTACAGTCTGCACTGTCTGTGACCTCAGTCCCAAGGCTCAAAGTGATTTCTGTAATTCCCTGTGCTCCATCAACTGTCACAACTTGTATAAGTTAGAAACTTTCCAAACTCAGTTCACACTTGATGGTGGGGTGGAGTCCTGGGTGGGAGGGTGGAGAGAGGTGGGTAGAGGGGCAGATGGTGGGCTATTGGGGGACATGTTCCACAAAGTGACTGTGATAGCATCATAAATAGCTCTTGTACCTTTGTACCTTATAGTCATAGCTCTTGAGACCATTCTCGTCTTGGCTCCATGGCAGTTGTAAATTCCTTACCGTAAGGCAGATATTACAGTGGTATTAGTAGAGCTACGATCTCTCTGTGGAACTGAGCCAAGACATGATTGGATCATTGACAGCGTGTTACAGAAAGCCAGTTTGCATCAGGGTTAACTGATGTGTTGACAAGTGCAAGCACTGGCTCATCAAGTTGGCCCATATTTTAAAACTAATTTTAAATTGTTCTGTACAAGTGGGCCCATTATGGTTAGAGCGATCTCAACTGACTGAATGTATTGTTTAATACTTCTCACAACTGGCTGAATGTTATTGTGTTCACCCCAACTGGCTGAATGTTATTGTGTTCAATACTGCTACCAAATACTGGCTGAATCTATTGTGTTCACCAATATTGCTCACCAAGATATTGTGTTCACCATATGACATGAACCATTATTGTGTGTTCACCAATACTGCCAGCATGATCCAAACTGGCTGAATAGTTATTGTGTTCACCAATACTGCTACCATGAAACCAACTGGCTGAATACTTATTGTGTTCACTAATATTGCTAGCATGACATCAACTGTCTGAATAATTATTGTGTTCACCAATACTGCTACCATGACACCAACTGGCTGAGCATGTTGATCAGTAATTCCAGAATGGTACCAACTTGCTGAGTGTGTTGACGAGACAACTCCCCTTCAGACCCTCCATCCTGGAAGTGGGCCTGAGCTGCTGCCACTATGAGTGGTAGTAAATTGGTTAAATGTATCTGCACTCTCCATTATAGGGTCCATTACCCTGGCAGAGTTGTGCCTGTGTACCGTGTAGATCAGTGTATAAGATGTCGTCAACATTACACTTTCTGGCACATCGTGAATTTTTTCCTTTCACCCATCCTACACTGGTGTTCTTAGAAGAGCTGAATGTCTGGAACTGATTCCACTGGAAACTGTTGTCTTACAGAGAATGAAGTACATCATTCTTGTTGGCGAAACAGAATTTGCTTTTAGTACACATGAGCTTTGTTTCACTTCAAATATGACCGAGACACTGATGTTCTGGGAGTTTGTCTCAGACAAAATCTTCTAACAGACAAATTTCCAGTCATGCTCCAAACTAGGACAGTATATATGTTCCAGTATATCTTTGACAAGGACAATATACCTTTGACAAAGAAATGTCCAAGTATATCCCAGACCAGGGTGAGAAAGCTCCAGAACACATGTCCATAACGTGTCTGTGGTGTTTAAAGTACTATCTACAGCTATGTCATTAGTCTGTCTCACAGTCCCTGAACCATATTATTTTCCCCAATGCTTAGCCCTCCCTGCAATGCTAAATCCCTAAATGAAGCAAGTCTAGATTTCCTCAGGTTCCTGAATCTCTGGTCTCACTGGGGCTCCTTTTCAATATAAATGGGTTTATTTGCTACTATCAAATTTATATGTATTCAGGGACTAAACCTTAGTCTACTAGGTCATGCAAGGCATTTGTTTCAACTACTGGCAGCAGACAAATTCAGATTAATCAAGTAAACGTTCTTCAAAATTGACAGCTAAGACACCGGTCTACATCAATGACTTCCACACTATGCTGTCTAGAACCCATACCAGTCTCCATCCAGTATTTGTTGACACTAAGTACATCTATTGATGGTAGTTCTGTCCGATGATCTTCCATATGTGGTCAGTACAGCGCCACACTGCCACACACATACCAGGAGAATCAGCTGACCATTACCTACTGACCATGACATTATCAGTAAGGTAACAAAAGATAATAACATAAGTCAATGATGGACTCTGAAGCAGCATGACTGAGTTGAATGACAACAAACATATAAGTAGCTCACTCACTCACTCAAAGCTGGGAGGAAAGTCTCAAGTCAAGTGGATCCCGGGCATTCCCTACTTGAATCTATGTATTGTTCTGACAAGCCAAAGATCATAGTCAGGGCAGAGCCACAAATTCATAAACTAGTGGATCCTGGCACTGTTAAGGGACTTAACTCTGCACAGTGATCACGAAACACTTAAAGTATGAGGTGTCCCATCTGATATGTGGTCACCCACCTAATCTGCCTCAAGTTTCCATAGGCATATAAGACAAGATATCTTCCAGTAGGTAAGGCCCAAGGCTACAATTATGCTGCCACAGACTCCTTCCTGACTTCTAAGCTTTAATCATTAAATATACCAAGCACCATGTAGGCTAACAACAAGTACCATCTTCTACCATTTGGTCCGACTTGGCCAAGGAAAGAACTACTAACTTTCTACTCCACAAGCAGCTACTCTACAAGCATGGGCACAAGACTAAAGTCAGTCAACTGATTAACATGACCAATACAACGATGGTCATCAGAATGCTAGTGACCCTATCAGTGGACTGCTGACCAGATCAGAAGGACCTTATAATCACATGATCAGTGGGCTGAATGACCTACTCCTGTCAGACAGTTTGAAGATGGGATAGCGTGTGATTGATAGCAACAGCTTCCACAACAGACAAGACATAGATAATTACCAATGTTTAACTGGTCATGACAGATAAGAAGTGTATATACTCTCAGGGCCCATGGCACCATCCACACAACATCAATCCAGATTGTATATCCATTTCCTTCAGTAACCATATCACTTCAAAAAAAGAATCATTCATGCATTTTTCATATCGAGGTAAACATATCTTCAATAACAAAGATTGACGGTGAAATTCTCCATTTGATGAATCACTAGATATCTGTACCACAATGCAGTTTG